ATATAGTCTTTTTTACTGTATGGCTTATTTACACAATTATTTACACTATTGTCCTCAGCTTGTTTTCACGAGGTTTCGAACGTTCCCCACCCCCAGGTCTTCAACAGGTGTATATCCATTTGGGTAATCTACAGAGAATTATGAAGTGAACCGTTTATTTAATCTACGAGGATAGAATTGCTCATATATAGTCATATCGTTTAACTCTTATTTTATCTAGAAGATAAAACTTCTAAAAATTTTTCTCCCTTACATTGACTAATGAGAAAATAATGAAAGAAAAAATATTATTAATGCCCTGAGAGGACACAGTAAATAAAAGAAGCTCACGTTGTAAATTGTTTGGTTTTGTTGATTTTGTTTAGCGGCATCAACCTCTACGGGTCATTTACACTATTTTCCTTATCTTTGTTGTTGTTATCACACCGTTTCGGCCGTTGTGCTCCCCGGTCTTCTTCAGGTGTATATTGATCTAAATAATCTACGGATAATTTTATACTGTTTTTATAACAGCAACGAAAACGAGGCTAATAGTCTGAACAGAAATGGTATAAATACTGATAGTGATAACAACAGCAAAGATGAAGACAATAGTCCGAATGTCGTGTAAAGAACTCTTCCTCCCTGAATTTCAGGCAGAGATAAAGCACATAAATATTTTGTAAAACATTCTGCCATTCAAGTGGATTCAGAAAAGTTCTGGACTTTTTTCTAGCATAAAATTCTTCAAGAATAGATTAAAGAATATATTGAATTCTGATCATCTGGCGGTCCGTCCAGGGTATGACGATAAACTACATCAGCATCCTGGGTAAGACGATAAGCTACATACGCGTCCGAGGTAAGATGATAAGCTACATACGCATCCTGGGTAAGACGATAAACTACATACGCGTCCTGGGTATCACAATAAACTACATCAGCATTCTGGGTAAGACGATAAACTACATACGCATCCTGGGTAAGACGATAAGCTACATGAGCACCCTGGGTATGACAATAAACTACATACGCGTCCTGGGTAAGACGATAAACTACATACGCGTCCTGGGCAAGACGATAAGCTACATACGCGTCCTGGGTAAGACGATAAACTATATCCGCGCCCTGGGTAAGACGATAAACTATATACGCGTCCTGGGTAAGACGATAAACTACATACGCATCCTGGGTATGACAATAAACTACATCAGCATTCTGGGTAAGACAATAAACTACATCCACGTCCTGGGTAAGACGATAAACTAAGTCCAACAGCAAGGCCTCTGATCAGGAGGTTTTGAGAAGCGTGGATCCACATCTTAATTGCTGGTGTTCCCAGGTTCACCCTAACCTGGGGTGGTAGAAACTGTTAGTGTCCCAGCTATGGGTAAATAGTTAACCCCCAACCTGGGGTCAAAACGTTATGAAAGTGCACAATAGGTTTTAATATCAGAAATACTTTGTAAAAAGTTATTACGAGCAATAAGTTTTTGAAGAAAAAAAATATTACCAGCAACACATTATTACCAGTAATACATTTTTAGGAAAATATATATTTCCAGCAATACATTTTTGAAAAAAAGAAAAAAATATTACCAGAAATAGATTTTTGAAGGAAAAAATATCAGTAATACATTTAGAAAAAATATATTACCAGCAATAAAAATCTTGTCGGCATTAAATAACCCATTGAGGTTGATATGCCGTAAAACAAAACAAATCAAACCAATATATACTGAGATAGATAGATGAAAAATATTACCAGCAATAAAAATCTTGTCGGCATTAAATAACCCATTGAGGTTGAAATGCCGTAAAACAAAACACAAAAACAAAAAATCAAATCAAACAAACATATGGAGGCATTTATTCTGGTGTTATAGAGAAAAGACATTATCTAAAGGAGGCTAGAACATTTTTTTAAAAAAACAGTGTTCGGTGACTAAACCGGTTTCCCCAGCAGACCAGGGTCGGTTGAGGAGGTGGGGGAAACTCCAGCAGTATAAAATACAAGATATGTTAAAGGGCGGATGAACTCCTTAAAATTAATGGTCATCTAGCCTCTCAAACCTGCAATTGGCCAAGCATGGTGAGTACAGGAACCACCCAACCCCTGAAGACATAGTCACCCAGGTCGATATAAATCTGAGGAAGGCCGGAAGGTACAACGACCGAAACGTTGTGATACCAACTAGTCATTCCAGGAATTCAGTTAAAAAAGAAAATAACAGACTTTTTTCCAGAGTTTCCTAGACAATATTTAGTCGCTTTTCATTCCTCGTAGAACCACCCTGGATGAAATTTGACCCTAAAAGTGTTGACACCTTTTCTAAAACGTATTATCCGTCAGGTACCAGTGATCATTTCCAGCTAGGTTTGATATGGTGATTTTCTAAGTGTAGCTTAAATGTGTAACAAGGCCAAAACTAAGGGGCACCCAGTGAGGATCAAACTTACTATTCAGCCGCAATTGATCGAGCGAGACAAGCTTGGTGACCATCACACCACGTCGAAGTGCCATAGTGATTTACTACGCGTAGCTTAGACGTGGCACGAGCCCCAAACTGTGGAGCACCCAGTGAGGATCGAACTTTCTATTCAGTAAGCTTGCTAATCATTACAGTACGTTGAAGTATCTTAAATATGACGCTTTGAATGTAACAGCTACAGCGTAGCTGTTGCAGTTTCTGAGAAAATGAATAAGTGGTATTACTTTCGGAGCGTCTCTTGCAAATAACGACGTTTGGTAATGGAAATATAGAATAGTTAATTAAAGGAAAGTAGCTAAAATATTAATTAACACTCTTTGTAGTTGTCAGTTTTAATTACGGTCTTCCTCAGATAATTTGTATCATTCTGCCGGCATCTTTTATTCTTTTCTCAGTTGAAGATAGTGTTCTGAAAACAACTTCTAAAATATATCTCTGAATAATAGGAATTTATACTGAAAATTAAGTTCATTTTGTGCATAATACACACACACACACACACACACACACACACACACACACACACACACACATATATATATATATATATATATATTTGTGTATTTAGGCAGCAAAATCTTTTTTAGGTATGTCTGATGGAATAAATTACAGACATTATTATCTGCTAATTTTTAACAAAATCCGTTCATACTCACGAATAACTTTCCGTGTATTGATGTTAAAAGATGAAAGAAATGTGCTATAGTTGTTTAAATTTCTTTTATTTTCATTTCCCAAGTAGAACAAATTTAATAATTCGCAATGACTCCTCCCCACTAACTGATGTATTACGTAAAACCAACATTACATACCCATTTAAATGCCTCTTGAGAGAATGCATCTCCGACAAAATAACAAATATATATACACTAACAAGAAAGCTTACATTACATATGTCTGATCATTGTCCATTGCGAGACATCTACAACAAAATTCCTGTCCGCATTCACAATATAAAAATTTACTAATCGCTAAGACAACTATACTATACCATGAAAACAACAAATTTAAATTACAGATACTAGAAGCAATTTATATTAAAAACTTAAAGCCGACAGTGAACAGAATCGACTGCAGTACTGCAGTAATGTTCTGAAATGCCTGTAAAGGAATAGTTTTTACGCTTTAATGCGATTGTGACCATGACATTGTATCATAGAGAGAAAAACAATTCCATAATGGATAATTTTTGTCACGTTCTAATGAACGCTCAGCCCACTGTCAACCGTTTTGCATTTAAGAGCATAATGGCAAAGTTACGGTAATGAATAACAACTCATAGCTTTGTATAAATACTTGTACTAATGAACAACATATAGTTCTGTACTACTTGCACACCTGAAGATGATCTTGGAAAAAGATCGAAAGTACTCGGGAAATAAAAATAAAAGAAATTTAAACAGCTATGGCACATTTGTCTCATCCTTTAACATCAATAGACGGAAGGTTATTCGTGAGTATGAACGGATTTTGTTAAAAATTAGCAGACATAATGACTGCAATTTATTCACTCACACACACAGACTCACACACACACACACACACAAACACACACACACATATATGTGTGTGTGTGTGAAAAATGTGTATATATATATATATATAATTATTTATATATTATTATTTATATATTATATCCATGGTACTTATTAGAAAGCGCTCAATATCAGAGATAGAGCTAATATTTGGTTGGATTGATGTAAGTTTGTGACCCAGGGTCAAACTCAAAATCAACCATCAATATATATATATATATATATATATATATATATATATATGTGTGTGTGTGTGTGTGTGTGTGTAAACGGTAAATTCTCTCTCCCTCCGTGTGTCTGAAACCACTCTATGAGAATAGAAAACATTCAAATTTTAAAATAACCGACTAAAATCGTGATTTTAAAAGTTTTTTTTTTATTTATATTGAGTTTAAAGTAACAAAACGTTCGCGTATTTTATTTTTTTGTTTTAAATTCAGGTTAAAACTTTGTGAATTGTGAAAATCAATTTTATTTCTTCATAACGTCAAGGAATTAGATTTATAGTGATAGGTTGACGTGAGGTTTTCAAGATCAACAGAGTTTATGATTTCACAAACTCAATACAATTGAAGTTCAACAGAGTTTGTGATTTGAAGAAATCCTTTTTCGGTCTGAATTGGAATTTTCGCCTAAATCAAAATTTCGGATTAAATCGGTCTTTTGACCGGAAGTGGACTTAAGCCCGAATCAGAGTTAAACTGATGTTTTGAAATTCCATGGAGTTAATTGCGGAAGTCAAAGTTATTTCTTCTAAATTATCATTGCTTTTCTTTTATTAACTAGACCAGAGATCACTTTTATTTGGCACTGGAGACCCAATTAGACTTCCTTGGGAGCTATCTTAAAAGTCCGTATGCAGTGCGCCTTTTAAACAAGTATAAATTTAATTCACACTAAAAATAATTACTTTCGAATTCTTTATACCAGAGCTCCTGAATCTGGCAAAAAATAAATACCTTTTCAAATATAGCAAATGATTTCTTCACTTTACTTACAGCAGTGGAACGAGCATTCCACCGGAAACGGAAGTTCCAGCCGCCTCGCGAACGAAGAGAAAATAAAAAACAAGAACCGTAGCCAATGAAACGAAACCGAATTGAAGATGCGTATCTCGTGAGAAAAGATGTTTTACTGCATCTTCTCCACTTAAGAAAAACAAAGACGCCACTGAAAGACAAGAAAAAAAAATGAATGAAAAACAATGAATAAAAAAAAGGCAAGTCATAATAATGAAAGAAACAATTTGATTCTATTTGTAATATTTTCGTTATTTTTTTACCATAAAACACCAAATATATTTCCTTTTTTATTTTATTTTATTTTTTGTCCTTTTTACTTGGGTTTCTTTCTTTTATTATGAATTCTTTTCATGTTTCCCCTGCTATACGAAATTGCGCAAAACGAAGAAGCAATTACTATGAATTTATATAATAAAATCTTTTTATCTTTCCCAACTCACCAAATTTGATTTTAAGTTTGAAAGGTCACTTTAGTTTAGATCAGATCTATAGGATATTTTTAATGAGTTATAGAGTTACCTTTATGTTCAAGTCTCAATTTTTAGCATGAGTTTAGCTTTCTTGTATAATATAAGGTTGTTCTGAAAATAATGCCCAATTTTAGGATCGACTTTTATCCTCGAATTAATATATTTAAACAGTGTCTAAATCAATAACAATAAGAACGCTGAAAATCTCGACATTTCTGCCATCGCTATTTGTGCATTTACGATAAAACTCTAAAGGTTAGATGTCATGAAATTTTAGAATGCAGTTTAGGAATCCTTGCAACGGAATGTTTTTGGCTTAAAATATTGATAGAAAGCGAGACAGAAATAAGTGGATGTGGCAAAGTCTCGTATACCAAGTCGGTGAGCATCTGCAGTGTCATCTAAGCGAAATGTCGTCGAGCATTTTCATGAAGGTGAACTGGACCTTGTCGATTGACTTGTGCCGGTCACATTTCGCTTAACTGAATATGCATTACATCCAGTTGCTGGTAGTAAACTTCAGCAGTGATGCTCCATTTATTTGATTGTTTATATGAGAAAATAGTTCAATCGAGCCTGTTTAATATTTTGAAATCATCTTCGAATGCGTTTCCACAACATCGCCCACGTGACGACGACGTGATCATATTTAAACGGAACGCTGATCTTATATAAAAAAATTCAGTTATCTGTTTGGATTAGTTGTGCTCTTATGTCCATCGTCTTTTTCATGTTGAATTTTATATGTTCTAATGTTAATTATGTTTTATGAATATGTCCTGATGATGGTCTAAAATAGACCGAAACGTCCGACGTTGACTTTATATTAACATTAATACAGCATAATTGCATATTAAGATTTTTGTTTGCTTTTTCTGCATATATATATATATATATATGTGCATATATATATATATATATATATATATATAGATAGATAGATAGATAGATATTTATATATATATACATAGTTAAACCTAGAGAGCCAGACAAACCTACCAAGGTTTCACCTAAGCGGATCGTCGGGGATCCCTAACGATTCGCTTAGGTGAAACCTTGGTAGCTTTGTCTGCTCTTTAGGTCTAACTAGGTCTGCTCTACTCACTGTATTGAGCACTTAGTTATTTTGCGTACTCGTCTCGGTGTTTTTTTTCTATGGGATTTGGACTTGCATGCTAGACGATTATTTTCAGCTAACGTACATGTTCTTTGTTCTTTCTTTTTTATATATCTTTTTTTCCCTTTGGTATTGGTTTCATTATTTGCAAATCAAAACACTGAAGGTTTTCCGAACAAGTATAGTTTCTTATACTTATAAGATTTCTATTACTACTACTACTACTACTACTATATATATATATATATATATATATATATATATATATATATATATATGTAATAAATATAAATAGTCATCAATCCACAGATAAACTGTTTCGATGTATCACAGCTCCTCAGTGTGGCGAGACGTACAATTGCTTGAAGCCGGGATAAAAACCTGACTGATTTGACATCAGTCATATATCTTACCACTAGGCCATCAACGCACGGCAGAAAGGACAGGAATTTTAACGTTTTTCATTATACGAAATACGCTGTTGGCTCAGAGAACACAGTGCACTATAGTTGTTACTGAAGTTTTCTTTTACTATCTTTTCTAATCCTTATTCTGACAACGATTTACACAGGCTCGTTGCGTTATGAACTATGATGCTATTTACCTAGGACGCAATGAAGGCAAGAGGTACACACACAAACACACACACGCTCACACAAACACATATATATACAGTTGGGGAAAACATTACACATAAATTTTTTTAATTTATTGTATTTCCCTCTAAAGAATAAACATACTTTTCATGTTAATTGTACGCAGATGCATAATAACTAAATATGCATAGAAAATAGAAAAAAATGAATTTAATAGAAATAAATCCCATTTATCCATTTTAATAGCTGAAAACAGTTTCCCCAACTGTGAATGTAATTCTGAATAATTCGAACACTTCTACTATAAAATCCTCGTCAGTTTATATATATATATATATATATATATATATATATATATATATATATATATATATATATATTGCACTCTCTGTTAAATTACAAAAACTTACACTACCCATCAATTTTCATTTCATTTTTCGTTTCATTTTTGAAAGTGCTATCTGATGATCCGGCGTCCTTTAAAAGGACTCTGGTGAAATAAATTATTACAATGGAACTTTAAAGTGGTCTATTGTTCTTTAGAATATATATATATATATATATATATATATATATATATATATATATATATATATATATATATATAAGATAAACAGCAAGTAGGAAACGTATATCAATCTAACATGTTTCAATTTTATTAACGCTTCATAAGGGATTGAAAAGAAATAGACAATTGTCTACATTCTCTCAATCTCTAACGAAGCTTTAATCAAAGTTAAACATGTTAGATTAATATACGTTTCCTATTTGCTCTTTTATTTTAATATCCCGTTGGACGCCGATCCATATTTGATCTGCATTTGATATTTAACTCATGCGTCTGTGTGTGTGTGTGGGGGGGGGAGATGTAAGTAGTCACAGATATCATCACAGACTGACAATGGTCTCTTTTCATGGCTGAGCGCAATCTCTAAGCAGTCAACTTGCGTTCAAGCATGAAACAGAGAGTCGCCACTTGTTGAAACCGAAGTGTCCACTTTCATATTTTATATTTACATAGGCCCTTAGCCTGATATTGTGGACTTTTACCCATGAATAGAGCATACCTTAAAACTATATTGTTATCTTTAAAATATATCTATACGCACACACACACACACACACACACACACACAAACACACACACACACACACACACATATATATATATATATATATATATATATATATATATATATATATATAAAAAAAGGCTTAAACACTAATACTCCATGGTCATAATTTATTCCCATTGGAATCGTAAATACGATCCAATACATCAGACCTACAAATTCAAAAAGAAAACAGAAAAAACAACTTCGGAAATAAAAACAGAATTTAGAGAGAGTGTAAGTATGAGGAGGAGGAGGGAGATCAAACCTTAACAGAGAGAATATTAGGGGAGATGGGTGGAAGGGGTTTAAGTAAGAGAAAAGAAAGAATGTTGACGGATGTCTAATGCATAAAGATACATTTCGTGGTGACATACATACACCATAGACGATTTAATGTTGAAGATCAGAATAAGAGGGAGGGAAAAACGTATATATATATATATATATATATATATATATATATATATATATATATATATGTATGTGTGTGTATGTGTATGGATGTGTATGTGTGCATATATATATATATATGTATGTGTGCATGTGTATGTATGTATATATGTGAAAAGTGTGTGTATATGGATATAGATGGATATGTGTATGTGTGGACATGTGGCTATATTTATATATGTGTGTACATGGGTATATGTATGTGTGTATGTGGGTACACGCCTATGTGTATGTATATACGTGCATATGTTATTGTGTATGTGTGTATTCGCATGTATTTTTGAATATAAGAATATAGGTCCTTGTTAGATTAGATAATCGTTGTATTTATTTTTTATATGTTTATATTTGATTTGTAACCTGTAGTCGATATTAAAATTGTCAAATTTTCTCAATTACGCAGCGGCCCTTTTAGTAAATATAGTTCAATTTTACTTTCCTTCGCCCCATCTCTCTCCCCCACCTCGTCTTTCCCTTCCTCTTATTCTGATCTTCAACATTAAATCATCTATGGTGTGTGTATGTCACCACAAATGTATCTTTATGCATTAGACATCCGACAACATTCATTTTTCTCTTACTTAAACCCCTTCCACTCACCTCTTCTAAAATTCTCTCTGTTAAGGTTTAATCTCCCTCCTTCTCTAGACTCTCTCTAAATTCTGTTTTTATTTCCGGAGTTGTTGTTTTCTGTTTTCTTTTTGAATTTGTAGGTCTGATGAATTGGATCGTATTTACGATTCCAATGGAATAATTTATGACCATGGAATATTAGTGTTTAAACCTTTTTATTATTATATCCTTACTCTGTCCTGGACATTGAGTTCTACCTGGATTCTATCCTCTCAAATTTTTTTCAAAAAGTATATATATGTATGCACCTATGTATATATATATCTATAAATTTTGCATATGTATATGTATATTTACCACTAATATCATCTATCTATCTATCTATCTATCTATATATATATATATATATATATATTTATACATATATATATATGAATGTATGTATGCATTCGACGACATGGGACTGTCCGCTTGATGTTATGTGATACTCAATGTGCTTTCATTTTTCAGTGCATCAATGGCGAATTATCAGCTAACGTTTGAGACGAAACGTCATATGGTAATTATTGCGATACACGCAAGGCACAGCGATGTTTAAATTGCACATTTTTCGAATTACCCAGTCAGCTTGAGAGGAGATGCACTTCACCAGTCGGGATGAATAAATATGGTTCCCATAAAAAGAGAAAATAATGCCTTATTTACTGTTAAGCACTTCCTGACCGAGTAAATCACATCGGATCAAATGTCGGTTCCATTTTAAAAAGAGGGAGGCAGGTTCATTCTCTGCCATAGAGCATATTCTCTTGATTTGGATTCCTCGAATG